CTATGAAATGAGTAATAAAGTTAACCTTTCGTACTGATGATCTGTCATCAGAACTACTGATGCCTGAATAGTCCTGTCACTTTCTGCCACGTTATGCCATTTGCGTGGTGAGCTGATGGAATTAAATATTTATCAGATTAGCTTCTACAAAAGCTAAGTTGCCTTCTTTTCCCAACTGCATGGCATCAAAAGAGCTGATGGGTGAACTGACCACACCAGATGCTTACACTAACGTTGCAATAAATGACTAAAGTCGTCTCAAGAAAATTAGTCAATTGAATTGAATACTGTAGTCCATTTCCATCCCCACAGTTCTTACACGTTGCAATGCATTTTCTGATTTATCTGTGCCCACACCATTAATACTGCATAGCTTCAGGCCTCCAGACAGTAAGAAAACCTGCTGTTTTTATGGATTCAACTGCAAATTATGGAGTTGTTATGCAGACTGGAATGCTGTGGTTCTCAATGAATTGACATGCACCACTGCAAAGATATGTGGAGAGGATTGGTAGTTCTCAATGGAAGTGGACATTGGCATTACACTTTGTGCTGGTGGCTGGTATGACTATTCCTGAGCAGTATCTGATCTGAGCCATTTTTACAGAGGTAGAATGGAGAAGGTTGGGAGATGGTAGTAGTGGTAGTTAGTTAGTTAGTTAGCCAGCCAAGTTAGTTAAGGGCTAATTAAGGCCTACTGTCGGAGGCCAACTTTAATTTTTCACTTGGCCTCCAACGTTTCTCAAAGCAACAAGAAAAATATAACAGCCTAGAGACACCAATCCATTGGAAGACCAGATGGAAGATCAGTACTGTAGCAGGCATTCCCTGCCTGCTCATTTCAGTTACCCAAAGCCCATGGAGAGGTTGTGGTGGTCCATCTGCTGAGACCACTTTTAATTTTACACTTAAAAATGTTGAAGACAGGATGTTTCCATCTTGTGGCGCCATACTCCACCTTTACCAGCAAAAATGACTGTTGTTGTTTCACAGGTGGAGAGCCTCCTGTTGACCGTTCAGCTTTGAGAGTCCACGTACCATGCCTCGTTGAACAAAGAGTCTGTCCTCTGCTTGTTTTTTTTGTCAATTTGGGGAAAAAAAGAGATGGGTAGCTGTTCTCAATATTCCAGGCTTCCGACCCACCTGAGAGTCTGCTGGCAGCATTCTGATTCCCGGAGGGGCAATTTTTCTCGTGGTAAATAGACTACTGACCAAATTTCTGAAGTGTGTAGCTGAGGAGGGCATACCCTGTTCCTACCCTGCCACTACATGTTTCTGATCACTGGAGCTCAATGAATTTCCAGTCCACAGTTTGATCTGATGATGAATCGACATGTATGCATTTTTTAAAGAAAAGAAATAGAAGATTCAGCTTCTGGATATTTTTTGCTTCCTCCATTAACTCTGCTTCAAGCTCTCCTTATAAACAATGATGCACTCATTGTAAACATTCTGTGGCAAACTAAATATCAATTGATAAAGTTAAATATTCTGCTGTGAAAGTGTTTTGTTTGTCAATTTAGAACAATGGAATTATAATTTTGTCAAGATATTGAAGCCTAATTTAACCCTTGGGAGAATCTTGTTCTTTCGAGACTGATTATGGAGGTGGATCTGGGGGCAGGACAGGTTTTCTTGTGTGAAAATACCAAATTTATGGATGGGCAGGCATAATGCTTTGCCTCCCGCTGGGATCTTCCAGGCTCCAACTTCTGGGCACCAATCTTATAAGGCACGCAGATCACTACTACAACCCAGGAACATTGGTTAACCTCTACTCATCGCCCCCTGGCATACTAGAGATGTCAGAGATCAGGCAAAAAGTGCATCACAGTTCACTGACACTATCCGAGAGGTTCCCCTAAAAGCTGTCCAGGAGGGAAGGAAGGTGCTTTTTCCCTGGGAATGGCAGCAGAAGCACTTCCTGGATAACAGAGGCAGAGGTAGCTGCAAAAGTTAGCTCTCAAGAGCAGCTCAAGGGAACCTGGCCCCAGTGCCACCATAGGATGAATGATCTGCACTCTGCCAGGGTAAGTGCCACTCTCTACTCAATGCTTCATGCCCCCATGCACGTGAGTTAACAGCTGAGTTCTAAGTTTACCACTGTACGTGATGGTCACACAATTTTGGGTGCCAAACATCTTCCATCAGGCAGCTCCATGTGCAATCAATGTCTGTCACTTCAATGTAGCTACCAGTGTAGCACCACTTGCACCACAGTGCTGCTGCCTCTCATATCTCTGACAGAGTTTGCACTTAAAATATCAAAGCTGCTACAACATTCATCGCAACTAGGAGCATGGGCACATGGGACAAGGACGACACCACAAAAGATAGCTTCAGGATGAGCACCTTGCAGTTAATTTAGGCACGTCCAACATATTTATCAAATGTATCAACTCCAACTTTTTGACAATACCATTCCACCCTTCAATCAGAACCCTTAACTCCTAATTTCCCATATGCCAGTTTTTAATTTAGTAATGCACATGGACAATTACAGCTCTGGGGATTGAGATCTCTAACTATATCTATTAATGTAGGAAAGTGCTAACATACCCACAGCAATGGCTTTCCCCTTGCTTCTTTCATTCTACAGAAAGACATTCACGATAACAAATCTTCACAGACAAGTATGGTAGGGAGGAATTGCCTAACATAGGCTATTCATGCTTTTGAGGAGCAGGCCACCAGGTTTGTAGGAGAGCAAGGGGAATTTGCCCGTGCTGTACAGGAGATTGGATATCTACAGCCATCTAATGAGAAAGTCTCCAAGTGGTTACTCTCGGATGCATGTTAAGCTCTAATGTCTTAATGAAATCTTGGGTAAGGCTCACAACAGATCTTCACGTTTTTCTGTGCATCCTCTAGATTCTACTCCTAAATCAGGGCCAAAACAAGAAGAAGCCCAGCTCCTGGCCCCATTTCTATTAACACCTAACAGCACAACTTGGAGGATGGATAGCCATGAACCTCAAAGGCTGCATTGTTCTCTCATCTCTCCTGCAGCATAGAGACATTCATTTCAGTGGGTAATCTCAGTGAGGCTTGAGGCCACGTTCTGGGGAGCATAGCCCTGACATAGTTCCACACTGACAGGAGGAAGAAACATCCCTGACACTTGAAGGCTTTCTGCAGACCAAGCTTTTCCTGGGGCCAGTATAGATTACAAGCCTCTAGGCACCACCTTAATGAGTTGATTGAGATACAGCAGGACATCAGGCAGTGGGGCCGGAGATCATGCACAGAGAGGAGCCTACTCAAGTTCTGTCAGATATCATGGCTCTAACAGGTGACTGCATGGCTGTCTCCATGGGGCCTGCTTCTGTGATAAGGCAGATTCAACAGAACATTCAGTATCTGTCCAATAGGTGTGGAGATCTTCACTCCATCACTTGAGCATTGGATACATGCATTCATTGGTCAGGTGAAAGGAACTGATGGACCTTGAATTCCCTCCAGGTATGGAATTGCCTCGAGGAATGAGGGAGGTGTGATTGAGCACAGACAAGGAGGAGGAGTGGTAGGCAGATATCCAGGGATTGTCATCTTGAGAGATTATATGAGGTGCCCTGCAGCACCACCTACTCTTCACCATAAGTGAGGATGACTTTCTCCTTTCTTGTGGTATCCCCTCTGCTCTCGAATTTCTCCCCTGACTGTTGGTCCTTCTGCTTCCTCTCTTGATATTCCCGTGATTCCACTCCTATCCAAATCCCCAATCCCTGCCTCATCATTATTCACTCCCCAGCTCACCAAAATTATCCCCATTGTGTTCGCTACCCTTAAACGTGTAACACTTACCCTTCTGTCCCTTTGCCTTTGCCTCTATCACTGTGCCTTTTCTCTGTGCATCCCAGATTTCTCCCTCCGTTTCCCAAAAACCTTCCAGTGTCCCGAACAACCCTGACCTTTAACTTACATTCCCCACCTTTCCTTCTGTGAACCTTTTCCGTTGAGCGCCTGTTTCATTTCAGTTACACCCAACTCCCTTCCCTGGTCAGCTTTGCTGATGTTCCGTGGCTGAGCAGGTTAGTTATGAAGAAGTCAAATTACAAAAGAAGTTTGTACTCAGCAGAGCTTAGATGAAGTAGTCTATCTAGAAAGTGGAGTAGAGGCAACAGCTCAGCAATTATCAGGTTGAATGGTGAAACAGAATTGAGGAGCTTAATGCTGTACTCCTGCTCCTATTCTTCCTTATCTTTTTGCATATGTTGGAATGAGAATGTACATTCATGTTCATATAAAAACATTTATAAGGTGTGCTTACTGACGATTTGTAAAACTGCTGAGTTGCGTAGACTCCCTGTTTGATCTGTGCTTTGTGTTGAGCTAACCACGCTCAGCAGTTAGTCTCAGTGTCACTAGATGAAGGGGTGGAAATTCAGTTCTGGGTCCATTGATAATCACTGTTTACCAAACTCTGCCAAAAGGTAAATATGTTTGGACATTAGATGAGGGACAGAATTGACTTGCCTGTAATGGCCCATGCAGGTGAATAGTCTGGTTCTTATTCTATAATTGCACATAACTAGATAACTGGATCAGAGTACTGGAGTATGGTGAAGGGTCAATGCAGTCCAGAGGAGAAAGGAAAAGATTGTCAAGAAACAAATAAAAAAGTGACATAGATATAGCAATAGTTCGTATGAACACAGGATTTTGTAATAAATTTCATACGCTGTCCTATCTGTTTTATATTATAACTTAAATCTAAATAACAAATATTATAAAACTTGGATTGACTTCTAATGTGATGTGAAAACTGCAATTAAACATATTTATTTTTGCGACTAATAGTTGAATTTAAAATAAATCTGAAGGAAAATATCTGCTCATATTTGGTAATTTTTCCTTTATACCTGTGTGTTATGAAATAGTAAATCCTTATAAAGAATAAATTAATAATTCCTCTAGAGAAATATGTTGGGGAAATTCTTCTTTGTAATCATAGGTTTGATTTGCATGTTTCCATTTATTAAACCTTTTCATTTTAACAGGCACCGATCTGTGTTGTGAGCCATGGAGAGAGTGGACCAATTCGCTGTAACAGATGTAAAGCCTACATGTGTCCATTGATGCAGTTCATTGAAGGTGGACGGAGGTACCAGTGTGGATTCTGCAGTTGTATCAATGAAGGTTACTACTTCACTTTATTGACTCTGCACATCACAAACTTTACAAGAGTTTAATAAACTTCACAATATGTTAATCTGTTCAGACAGTTTAGATAGTGATTGTTCCAATTTAGTAAATATTTTTATTTCCCTTATAAAGTGAGAAAATAGAACTTGCTTTTGATAACTTGCCCTTATTAGGGCAAGTTTAATGCAGCTCTCAAATCCATTATCATATCTGCCTCAGGGTAGGTTGGTGCATGGGGAGTGGCACATAGCCACAGGGCTCATCAGAATATTTCCAGCAGGCTGTAAATGCCAATTGTGCTTTTAGCAGCAGTTTACTAGCTTGACCCATTTGGCTGGCTGGTTCTTCAATAATGATTCTCAGATAAGTTCTCAAGAATTGAAAAGAGATTAGGCTTGGTGTAATTGAGGATGCTGAGTCGCCCTCAGGTGTAGTGCAGACCGTGAAGAAACATGTAAAATTTTTATAATCTTTACCTGCATTTGCTTAACAGCAGTTTGACTTCATGGACAGAATCATTTGGGGTCTGAGCAATTGGATCTATAATGAGATTAGTGGCAGAATCAGATGATAAATCCTGTGAGGCCTATTTCAACATTGTGTGCATCTTGTGCCATCTTTTGCTGAATGGCGAGGCATGTTTCTTGCTAGTTAAAGGAGATTATTGCATCCTTAATGCTTTATTAATTGCCCAACTCAACTCATTAATATTACCAAATATGTCAACAAGCTAGACATTGAGAAATCTCAGGATGCAAATCTGAACAGGTACCTGGCAATTTCAGCTCGCCACTTGCTCCAAAGGGCTTCCATGTTGGACACCAGGCATCACCATCTTAGGGCACACTACATGGGTTCCAGCCATATGCACCCACATCCATGGGCATTGACATCTAACATGTGCCATCCTCCTAAGAAACCTCATGGCACATCTCCAGTCCATTTACAGTCCATTTCAGTGCAGGACCTTGGTTTGCACCAGCAACTATCATTGTACTGCTGCAGCAAGGGCACTGTGCGTGGGATATGCACCTAACTTGCATGTGGACCAGACCGCATCTGAGTGCTCTTCACTCACTATCATAGTGTTCTCTCACTCTGAGTCTATCTGGATGCTCACGTATTCCCTTCTTTGCATCTCCTTGCATTGCCGTTTTACACTTTGCCACCTTAACCAGAAATACCATGTTCATATTACCTGTGTCTTGCCTGACACAATGCCAGGAAGCTTGTCATAGTTGTCAGCAGGCCTCAGTTACATTGAGGAGGATAGCCTTCATCAGCGAGTCCTGGCACGGTAAGTCAAAGGCAGTCTCTGATACCAGTCCAGGAGCTTGAACGCAGTCATTAGCCAATCGGGATAGTCGCTTTCAGGATGCTGTCCACTTAAGTGGTGAAGAGGTCAGTGTTGTGCTGTCCACCACAGGCCCTGACTCTTTCTGATCTAATGTAGGCTGTTTTCCTCCTGGAATGAGAGAGAGGCTGGTATTACGGAGGATGAAAAAGAGTGGCACGACTGTTACGTTGTTGCAGGTGGGGAGGTGACTCGAGCGAGTGACTGGGCAGTGCAGAGAGTCTGATGGAGTTAATGGTGTCACCACCTGGGGTAGATGACAGTGAGTGACGGAAGATGTTGCAGCGAGCAGTGAGAGGGGTGGAGTATGAGCCTTGATGGGAGGTCAGTACAGTAGCAGAGATAAGAGAGAAGATTGTGGCCCTTCGATTGGCGGAGTGTAGAAGGACATTGACCGTCTTCCTACAGTGCTACATATTCCTCCAGATGACTGAGACTGCTTTAACCCAAGTAGCAACCTCAGACCAGTCTGGCATGTTCTGGTGTGATGACCTCCATCGCTGGTTATGTGGGAAGAGGAAGCCCTCTATGTTTGCACTTTCCTATCCAACAGGATCTCTAGTACCCTGCCCTTAAACCAGAGCACCAGTTTCTCCTGACTGCCCGTGTCCATGGCAAATGGCAGAAACTATGCTGGGCAGCTCCAGACTGGCAGTGCTTGTCTGTGTGCACAACGGGAATTTAAAGATGGGGCAGGCACAAGGGATCCCATTCTTTTGGCAGGTATCGGCTGAGTGGCTAGTTGTTCTGGGAATGGTGTGGTAGCTGGGTCTACAATCGGACGCGAGAGCTCCATAGGGTCAGGGTAGGTAATTAATGAAGTCAGTTTGGTAAGATACGGTGAGAATTCACACTAAGTCTCGTGCAAGACTCCCTCCGAAAATATGCAACATGACTCACTTAGTCAGACAAAAGTAAGATTCAGCCCTGTGTTCTTCAAGGGAAGATGATATATTGTAATTCAGGTTTAATGCTTCAACCCTTATTAAGTATTGCTTCATTCAACTTTCAAATTGCAACAGAATAGGGGATCTGTACCTTTTCTAAGACATTTAATTAGTTTATGTATCCCAGGAGGCAAAGATTTGCATTTAAAAAGCTTACCATGTTCTGGTATATTTGGAAACAAACTTTAAGATGTCTTTTCTTGAACAGAAAATGCTTTGGTTACACAAATTAATCAGGCACGTGGGACTGACTTTCTTAAGTTGCCTTGTTTGATTTAATAGCTAAATTACCCATCAATTTCTCCACTAACATTACTACATTCCCTCAGTTGAAATCAAACCATATTTGTTCAAAGAAAGATCTGTAGAGTCTGTGAGCTGGGAGTAAGTGGTTGGCTTTTTTCCGAGTTCATTGCCAGGATTGTTTGACTGGAACATTTTACTTTAGTTGGATTTTATTCAGTTGGATCATAATAACCCTTTCCCTTATAAAGTAAGCTTGTTAACACTGGATCGTAAAATCTTTCTTCCTGCTGCCTCCCCACAAATTGTAGAGCAAATCCATTGTTCCATCTTGGTAATCAGGCGAACTATTGGTATGTTTTTAAAATCAAAGGATATGAGGTACAATATTAAGCAGCCAGTGTGCTGAGGATTATTGCAGTTTATGTTGTAATGTAATGACAGTTAATGACTGTTTTTAAGAGGTATGCTGTAATAGGATTACTATGAGTTTTGTTTTCCATAAAGTCCATGTATGAGTGAGAATATTTGCTTGTGTTTAAGCTGCTTTTGCAGGAAGCTACTCTGGATCTGTAGGTTTCAGCTGTTCATGTGACACTATGGGAGTCCTTGGAACACCCCAGTGAAATTTAAGGGCTGGCGTATTTTTCATGCTGTGAAGAAGAAGATGAACTGCAGCACAGCAAACTTTGTGTTTGCCAGTTTCCCAGGAACTCCGAGCTGCAGCCAAACTGGTCACTTGATAACAAGCTACCAACTAGAGGGTGCTTTGTGTAAATGAGCATTGGAAACTTTTCTGCAGCTGCAGTTTGTAAATGTTTGAAACTGCTATTTAAAAGATTCAGGATCATTTCCGTGTTGGAGTGGGCTTTGCCAATCTCTTGCAAAGATTGTGACAGGCCCTTTGGGATCTCTCGACATCAATGTGTCTCATCCTGACTGCGAAAGATTGATGGAGCAAGTCCAGATAGAATACCTTGCTGTGTAGCTGAAGTCCATCTCCAAAAGGCACAGAAAAAGACGGTTGTGCTGTTTGGATTTCTAGCATACCTTTTCTGTAGGAGGCTTAAGGGCAAAGAATGAGCACAGCTCCGCTCATTTAGAGGATCTGAAAATAGGAAATCGGGCAATTTAAGACTAGCCAGACCTCCTTATGATAGATACATAAACAGAATTTAAACTGCAGAAAGTTTCCATTCTCCCTGTTACATTTGACATGACAACACTCTCACACTCTTTATAATTGCACATGCATGCTTATAAAGCAGGCTACTATTTATGTATGGGATTTAAAAACTGGAATTATTATCACTTGTGGATGTAAGATCATACAGCAAACTTTCAAGAAAACCTAGCTGCAGGATAGATATTGATTTATTAACACACGGTGCATGGTGCTGCCAGGTTGAACAATAAGCCTTCAGGCTGAGACCTGAAGAAATTTGAGTGGGACTTTCACTTGAACCTATTGGACATTAGTTTGCATCTTGATTGACCATGTCAAACAGAAAATGTAATTTTGTTCGTATTTAATGAAGCTTTACTGTGAACTTCCAAAGACTTGTTCAGTTAAAATCTTACATCTATATGTACAATCCTGCCAGACTCTATGAAATCAATGACCACACTAGAAAATGTTGACATTCAAATACTCTGAAAACATACGTTGACTTTATTTGTCAAAACGTGTCATTGTAACAGATTTTTATGGCAGAAAGTGACATCATCTACATCATCTTATCAAAGCAAATTATAACTTGTTTATGAAGGAAAGAATACATGATTGGTTTTGATATCTATTGAGTGCTTTTGAGCACTGACTGATCATAAATGATATTGTTTGAATTTTGTACAATCACATCTGATGTCAATTGGTTACCAACAATGTAAGTTATTGCCAATCAATTCGACTCCAGCATCTGCAGTTCTTGCTTACTCTAAATTATTGCTACTTGCTTATTTGGGATGTCAAATGATAGCTCCATGATCACTTTGAATGCAGATGTTCACAAATGAGGGCATATGTTGCCTCTCCAATGCTAATGAGCATGAAAGGATGTCAGAATTTTCTTGTGATCAATGTTGTGTCACTGTGTGGTGGTATAGAAGCTTGCACCCATGTAAATGCACGGTAAAACCACAAAGAACATAAAAGAAATTTAAATGAAATATAAAAGTGGATTGAATATTTTGCTGTATTATTCCAATCATTCTTTCACCATCTGGTAGCAACTATCTAGATTTCCCAGCAGATTTCCTTCTCATGGTATTTAAAACTACCTCACTTTTCTGCAATTTCTTCCTCTTTGCAGTTCTAATACTTGTTGACGTCTGCCAACTCACGTTATTTTGACATTTCTATCTCCATTTAAGTATCCTCTCCATATCCCAACTATGCTACATTAGTAATCACAGTTCTGCTTGTTTCCAGCTCCCAATCTTGTTTTATGACAATTTTTATCATTTACCAATATTTATCATTTTTCTTTGTCTCTTACTTTTTGTTTTGCCCATGCCAACTCCTTTTCTCAATAAAAAGACGATCTGGAGGCCCATTGTTTTAAGTACTGTTACCAGATGTTTGATAATATAACGAATGTTCCAAGTTTTCTTCCCTCCATATGGCCTCTGCATGATAATAGAGCTAACATCAGAAACATGAATTGAAATATGCATCCTGGTATGCTGTGCTTCACTGCCTACAGTTCTTTATATACTGTGTATCATGGCTTCTCACATCTAAGAAATGGAGATGCTGTAAACGTGGGAAAGCCGTTTCAACCATGATATTTGTGTTGGCTTTTCCTGGAGAAATAAATTGTGCGGTTCCAGTTGCCCTGAATTCCCAATGTATCTAACTCTGATTCAAATATTTAAGGAACTTTCTATTAAAATTGTTCAAAACTCCAATAATATATTACATTAAGAAATTTCTCCCTTTCTAAGTAATGCCTTTAAACCAATGACTAATCCTCAATCAGAGGAACTACTCATTAGCAATTCACTTGAACGAAACACTTAATTATTTTATAAACATCCATTATATCTCCCTTTAGCCCACTCTGCTCTGGCATTTTGTGTGTAAGCAACAGGAGAATTATAGAGGATTTTTTTTTAAAGTTTCTGGGATCCTGAAAGCACCAGAGGTTATTGCCTGTACCTGTGCAACCAATTAAATAGCATTTGTGAACTACAAGAATTGCCAGTCCACCTCTGTTGATCTGGTTAGTAACCAACAAGGCAGTATATAAAAGAAGGAGCTGCCCCAAAAAACTGGCCAGATCTCATTTCTACCAAAAACCCACAACAGCACAGATTTGGAGTTAAGTTTCAGTTGCTTTAGATGAATCGTTGAACATGACAATAGGAATGGTTCAGTCCAATTATAGTTCTTCTTAAACGCCGCTGATGATATACTGATCGGCATTGCAAAGCAAGAGACTTGTGTCAGAAATAGTATAAAAGCACATCACTCTCTAATGTTGTTACAACACAGTAGGTACATTAGACTGTTAGTGTAATGCCATAAGTATATCAATGGAAGTATTCTGATGGAGAATGGTTTCCTATAATGCCAACAACAACAACAACAACCTATAATGCCTATAATGCCAAATCTGTTGAAGTCACTGCGCTATTACTACAAAATTGCACTCATAACATTTTCACTCAATTGAAGATATACCCCAGTGCTGGAGGCTGTTTTGTATCAGATCCTCTTCACTGCCAGTTTGAGGACTCGGGTATCCCATTTCCAGAATCAAGTTGACAGACCCGGTGTGATTACTGGGCTTAATCTATGCTACTGACCCCATAACCACAGATAACACTAACTTCTTAGGATGTTTTATTTAATTTGCACTGGAGATTCCTGAAAGGCATAAAGAGCTTCCCCCATCTTATATAACATGAGTCTAGTTTAGGTCAGGCTAGCTAGTTTTGGCAGTTTTTTTGGTGGGTATAAAGATATTAAATATGGATCATAGAGCATTGCATATTATCAGAGATGCCATATTCTAACAATACCTCATAAATTCCTATGTATGGCTAGGTAGATTGACATTGCAATAAAGACAGCACGTTGGACTTATAAATTAAAATGCAAATTGTATTTCAGCAATTGCTGTTCACCAGTGTGTATTTTTTTCTGTTTTATTGTAAATTTACAGAAAATTAATTTCACAGCTGCAGTAAAAAGTATATTTTGAAAGATAAAGGTACAATCTGGCACTGAAATGTTAATCTCTTGCACTTTTTGACAACATTTTTAATAATGTTGTGGATTATTTTTCTCTCTTTAGTCCCTCCATTCTACTTTCAACATTTGGACCATATGGGTAGAAGATTGGATCACTATGACAAGCCAGAATTGTCGCTTGGATCCTATGAATTCATTGCTACTTTAGACTACTGCAAAGTAAGTATTTCTGCTATGTGAGTCACCTTCCTACATTGATAAACCCTTTCCACCAATGACACCGCTTTCAACTGATGGGTTCAAGCAGTTTTTTTCTCCTAAATGACTAACCAGTAGCTTCTGAGACTATTATATTCCAGATTAAAAGCACTACTTTTCTGTATTGACAGAATAATTGCAGATTAACTACGGTCTAATTGAATATAGGTAAACTAAAAAGTTCAAAACCTACTGTTTTTCCAAATACTCCTGTTCCAATCAAAATAGATTTTTTTTTCTGGTATGATACATTAATATTGAAAAAGAACAATTGAAGTTATATTTTTGAGCAAGGGTTAAAGGTTTCCGGTAATTAATGAGCAATTGTACAAAGTATTGTTTTACACTTAACCAGGTAGTTGCATGTTGATGCCCTCCTGCTAACTGCTAATCATTTTTATCATCCCTCAATGGTCTTAGTTATTTGGTAGTGCATTTGTTATTGAAGATGAGCATGTGCTGCTTTTCACAATTCCTGGCTTTCAGATTAAATTAGACATTTTTTGCGAGCATGCATTGCATGCAAATTGCTATACTCTTATTTATGGATTTATTTTGGCTTGATGTATTGTTTTTGTTGGGTCAACACAAAGGGACAGTGAATATTTAATTTACTTGGTTTCCCCAACCCCTCCCCCCCACCCACACACACCTGCACCACTCCCACACAGTTAACCAAGCAGATACCATAAAACTGGGGAAAAAAAAGTTTGCTAAAGTTGAGGCATCTTCACTCTCCTGCCACCTTTCATCATCCCAAGAAATTGCATGAATCAATTGTGTTTTGTTTCAGTTGCTTATTTTACAACTTTTTTTTTGTTTTTATTTCAAATGAACATTAGGCATGGTTAACCCTTTCTTTCCTACTTTACAGTTCTATTTGTCAATTAGTAAAGAAGTTATAGCTTGGGGTATATGTGCTAAGTAAAATAAATTCAAGTATTTACAGATATCACAGTTGCTGGGTTAAGCAGAAGTTATCCATTAACTAATTCCAATTTACAAAATATTTAATGCTACAAATAGTATACATTGAATTAATGAAGACAAATTTATTGTGATTGTAAGCATGTTGTCATTATTAAAGTATTGAAGTCTTTATTTTGCTGTTCAATTACATATTTTGGGGATAGATTGGAAAGGTCTCAGAACAGGTACAGGGATCAGGATGCACAATTATCCTGTGTCTGTTTGATGCACTGCTGGCAAGCTGAGATCTTTGTGCTGGCTGCTCAATATCTGGATCTCTGTTAGGACTGAGCACTGACCATAGTGTTGATTGATTGGCTGCAAATAACATCAAGGGATCGAATAGCATGAAAGCTGTTCTCACCATTGAAGGCTAACCTGTACTCCTTAAAGCTAGCCTACAAGGGAGGTGCGTTGTGGCAGGAGCAGACCTTCAGAGTCCTTTGTGAGATGAGGATCACATAGAAACGTAGAATAGAGCAGTAGGAGTAGGTCATTCAACCCCTTGAGCTTGCTCCACCATTCAGTATGATTATGACTGATCATCTAACTCAGTATCTTGTTTCCACTTTCTCCCCGTATCATTTGATCCCTTTGATTAGTTATGAGAGAAGGAAGAATGTTTGAACAGGAAAGAGAGCATGGGCACCAAGGTTTCTCAATGCTACACGATAATTCTTGGTAGAGTGGTAGACAGAAGGAGAGCCATTCTACATTCACAAGGGAGGAAGGAGGTCTTAAGGCATATGTGCTGGAATTTTACAATGCCCCAGGGGTCGGATGGCATAACATTTGTTAACATTAAGTTCGCTTCATACGATACTTTCATCAGGAACAAAGTTAAATCTGCTGATATCAGTTAATCCTAGCAGCCACTGGTTCACTTGATTTTGCTGTAAAAAAAAAGTTGTGATTCAGAGGAACAGAAACTACTCAGAAATGTTAAAACTAATTAAACAAACACCAGGGCATGCCCCCTATCCCCTATCTCACAACTCTGACTTTACGGGAGAAGGAGGCATCTGTGGCGTACATTTCCATGGGCCCCAATTAGTTGTTTAAGGGCCTCCAACCACAGCCACAGAGACTTTGCCATTGGCAGGAGAGGTTAGCATTAGATTGTACTACCTTCCGGGTCAAACCTAGCATCCTGGTAACTGGCAATGGCTGGGTCCTCTCTTTTTAGGAATCCTGTGCCCATTGAAGGTTTCACCCACAGGGACAGGTTCCCCTATATCCTCCTCTCCAATCCCATGACAATCCCATCCCTCCAGCCTCCCATTGCTGCAGCGGTCACCCTGGTCCTGAGAAGCCTCTAGACTTACCGTTCAGGTCAGGGTCCTATAGTGTTACCTCTTCAGAACTGCCAGCATTCCTAGCCTTGGCTGCCACTCCTCTGACTGGATAGCAGCTTTCAGAAAAAGGGCTTCATCTTGGAAGAATGCACAAGTTTCACCACAAGCCATTTAAAGGCCTGACAGCTAGGAAGCCAGGTCCAGATTTTGACCCAACAACCATAAAGAAACAGTGATATGGTATCAAGTCAAGGTGGTGAGTGGCTTGGAGGGAAACTTGCAGGTAATGGTGTCTCTGTGCATCTCCTGTCTTTGTCCTAACTAGTAGAGATTGCAGGTTTGGGACATAGTCAGGAAGGATCCATGGCAGTTTGCTGCCAGTACATCTTTATGTGGTACACACTGCTGCTGGAGTGAATATTTAAGGTGGTGAATGGTTCCAATGTCCTGGATGGTGTCAAGGGTTCTAGTTCTTGTTGGAGCCATACACACCCACGCTTGTCTAACTGAGCTCCCTATCATATGTGAGTGTAACCTTTGCTAGCTTCAGGAAACCATGTGAGGTGAGAAACACCTTTATAGTCAGGACATTCAGTTCCTTTCCCTATGAATGATTTGAGATCAGAAGCGAGAATGTTTTTTGATGGTGCTGAACAGTGTGCAATCATTAATGACTCCTCAGGAGCTGAAGTAGTCTGTGTCCATTTGCAGCAAAATTTGGACAACATCCAGGCTTGGGCTGATTAGTGGTGTGTAACATTTATGTAACATAGTGCCAGGCAATGACCATCTCCAACAAGAGAGAATCTATGCATCACTCCTTGACAATCAATGGCATTACCGTTGTTGAATTTTCTACAGTCAACATCCTGGTGGTTACAATTGACCAAAAACTGTACTGGGCCAGCCACATAAATACTGTGGGTACAAGAGGGCGTCAGAGACTAGGAATTCTGAGGTGTATAACTCACCTCCTGACTCCCAAAGCCTGTCCCCTTGCTCAGATGTGTCTAGCTCCAACAGCAGTCAAGATGTTCTATGCTGCCCAAGACAAAACAATGCATTTGTTTGGTGCCCCATTCGCCACCTTCAACATTCATTCTGGTTTTCCTGATCCAACCATGTCCAAATCACTGTTAATTTTGTGCTATGTTATTGTTTTGAAATCTTTCTCATCACCGAGGTTCAGGTGACTGGCCTGTAGTTGCTGGGCCTATCTTTGCACCCTTTTTTGAGGCACTATGTAGCATTTGCAATTCTTCTGTCCTCTGGCACAATTCCCCTACCGAAGAAGGACTGAAAGATTACTATTAGTACCTTCATAGCTTATACAAACAAAAAAAAAGCAGCTTAGACCCAGATTATCTGTTGTGTCTGAGTACCACATTTTAGGAAGGACTTGACAGTTTTTGGAAATGGGACAGTAATATTCACTAGAATGGCTGCAGGGATCGGGAATTCCCTGAATTACATGGGACCACAAATGAGTTTATACACATTCAAGAATTTTTTTAACTTATTTCTTTATTTTTCTATTTTTGTACGTATGATTTTATACCTCAGTACCTTTGTACTAAGATGGTGCCAGGAATGACGACATTGTACACTTTTCACTACTGTATCCCTGTACTTGAGTACATGTGACAATAAAACCTAAATCTAAATTCTTTGTTCACAGACCACTCTGAGGACATGCCTGATCTGTGGCCCTGACACTGTGATGTACTATTTTATGAATCAATTATGGTATGCCAGGAATTACAGGAGTGCCGTGTTTTCTGCTGTTTGTCACACATTTTATATCTAAGCGACTAATGTTCTTACAGTGGCTTTTATTCAAGTTGCTAACATTTAATACAGTTCTATTACATTGAAAGGATCACTCAACTTCATGTTGCTTGTGTTGCCTTGTGTAGTCTAAATGAAATGTTGGCCAACTAGTTAATAACCTAGCACCTGAAAACAAAAATAGAATCTCTTGGAAAACACAAAGAAAATTGAGGCTTTAGGCTACAAAGACTTAATACAAACCAATTTTCACATTGTGATCAATTGAAATGCATCATCCACACTTGTAAGTAAGAAAATGTTAAGGAATAAAATGTAGGTAGGGGGTTTATTTTTACCCTTTAGCCATCAGGAGAAATTTTTCTCCAATTATGTCTGCCAAATAAACACATTTATGTTATTTTTGTGGTGTGTATTAATTAGAAAGCTTGATCTTTTTCAGATGTTGTGTGAATGCATTTCCAAAATTTAAGTTAGCAGTAAAGAATTCTGGCCCAGTTGCCTCATAGTAAACAATTCAATAAAATCTTACAGTTTTATAATAAATAGTTTCAACGAGACAAACATGTCCTAAAATTTGAACACACTATTGTGTGCCCAAATTAATTCAATATTAAGATTTGAGTATTGCTGAAAAGCGCCACATTTTGTCAAAGCTTTTTGTGTTCCATTCATCAGGACAATTTGGAAGCATAAAGGGGAAACCCACCACTTATAGTCTATGACAGGATAGTTCTGATTGGTTGGCAAGCGGTCTCTTATTTATTTAAGTTGTATGGTGGAGAATGCAGCAGTTGGTGATGATTGACAGTTAACTGCCAGGCTTTGTTTATATTTTAACACATGATGCAACTTGATACTGATGGGTCAGGATATTGTCCTGAGAAATTAACTAACAAATAGCTGTCAACTACTTGTTGAGTGTAAATAGGTACATAATGTGCATGTGTTCTTTCTGTTTGATTAATATATGTAGCTTCCTATACACACAAGTGCACCAAACTGTGAGCACAATTGACAATTCTAAATTAATTCTTCATGCATTCAGGATTGTCTCGCGAATGTTATCCAATTGCAGGATCACATCTAACATTGGACACAATGTTGTGAGTTTTACAGGTACAGGATATTTACATACAGTTAGTACCTTTCTTTTTGTGAACAGCCAAAGGGATATAGAACATAGAACATGGAACATTACAGCGCAGTACAGGCCCTTCGGCCCTCGATGTTGCGCCGACCTGTGAAACCAATCTGAAGCCCATCTAACCTAAACTATTCCAATCATCCATATGTTTATCCAATGACCATTTAAATGCCCTTAAAGTTGGTGAGTCTACTATTTTTGCAGGCAGGGCATTCCACGCCCTTACTACTCTCTGAGTAAAGAACCTACCTCTGACATCTGTCCTATATCTATCACCCCTCAATTTAAAGCTATGTCCCCTCGTGCTAGCCATCACCATCCGAGGAAAAAGGCTCCCACTGTCCACCCTAACTAATCCTCTGATCATCTTGTATGTCTCTATCAAGTCACCTCTTAACCTTCTTCTCTGTAATGAAAACAGCCTCAAGACCCTCAGCCTTTCCTCATAAGACCTTCCCTCCATACCAGGCAACATCCTGGTAAATCTCCTCTGCACCCTTTCCAATGCTTCCACATCCTTCCT